AAACATTCRCACTCRTGTTYGATMCACGCATYAAAACACCTCGACGTGAGCTACGCCWCGCTTTCTTWACMTTCTTMTTAGTRTATTGGCWCACCAAMTAAACACCTYTTCTAMACGAAATACACTCTACAWAAATCAACARAGAAGCAACGACTTACAGGTACACCAGGTTGTCCCTGGGGACCAGGGGGTCCTCGTCCACCATCAGGGCCCTTTTCTCCACGTGGTCCAACCGGCCCTTGCACACCTTGTTCGCCAGGAGGTCCCTAACAGAGGAAGCCCATTATTAAAGAAAATTCTGGATAGTGTTACTAGTATAAATAGCAAATGTTTACCTGCGGTCCAGATTTACCGGGATTTCCGACGGGACCGGGTGGTCCTGGTGGTCCCTGGAAAAGATAAAGTGTCAGATGTTTGTAAACTGCAGCCCGGCCGCCTTTCAACCAACCACCAAAATATGCCCACTTCGTCGCCGGAGCAAGCTCCCAACACTTATACATTTTCAGTAAAATATACCAACATTAATGATTATGGCCAATTAAGGTCATTTTCTTCGGTGGCTGTATCATTAAAGMTATGGCTATTCTGACATCGCAACACATCTTATTTATATAACATCTCTTGGAGATATACCATAAGTACCTTTGGTCCGCGGTCTCCTTTTTTGCCTGATGGTCCGGCTGGACCTGCTGCACCCTAAACGTATTGGGAAGATAGTCATGATGATGGCAATCATAATGTTGCTAATGCTAACAATTGTTATCAAGATGATAGTTACATAATGATGATGATAATGATTACATGATGATGATGGTGATTACAACGATGATAATCGATGATGATGACTAGAAACAAGACTAACGTTTTAACATTGCAATATAAAAGTGAATATAATCTAAGAAGCCTTGTCATGCGCATGTCTTACCTTCTCACCGTCATCTCCAGATGGACCCTGTGGTCCTTCAGGTCCTGGTTTACCCTGAAATATTGAAGATAAAATCATCTGGTCTGAGTCTATAGATCATTCAGTCCATAAATCATTCATCTGTATGTCTAAGTCTGTAGGTCTATAGATCATTGGTCTATAGATCATTGAGTCCATAAATCATGTCTAGGTCTGTAGGTCTATAGATCATTGGTCTATAGGTCTAGATCCATAAATCATTCGTCTGTATGTCTAGGTCTGTAGATCAATAGATCATTGGTCTATAGGTCTAGATCCATCAATCATTCGTCTGTATGTCTAGGTCTGTAGGTCAATAGATCATTGTTCTATAGGTCTAGATCCATCAATCATTCGTCTGTATGTCTAGGTCTGTAGGTCTATAGATCATTGGTCTATAGGTCTAGATCCATAAATCATTCGTCTATATGTCTAGGTCTGTAGGTCAATAGATCATTGGTCTATATAGGTCTATAGGTCTGGAACTGAAGCACATAAGATATGAAATCGTGATCTATTTAGTCCTCGGAGTTAAGGTAAATATAAACCTACCGGTCCTCCCGGTTTTCCTGCTGGACCTGGATCACCACGTGGTCCCTCCTCACCCTAGAACAAAAATACGTATTCTTCAAAAGTATCTACAAACAATAACATATATGTATGNAGAAGCAACGACTTACAGGTACACCAGGTTGTCCCTGGGGACCAGGGGGTCCTCGTCCACCATCAGGGCCCTTTTCTCCACGTGGTCCAACCGGCCCTTGCACACCTTGTTCGCCAGGAGGTCCCTAACAGAGGAAGCCCATTATTAAAGAAAATTCTGGATAGTGTTACTAGTATAAATAGCAAATGTTTACCTGCGGTCCAGATTTACCGGGATTTCCGACGGGACCGGGTGGTCCTGGTGGTCCCTGGAAAAGATAAAGTGTCAGATGTTTGTAAACTGCAGCCCGGCCGCCTTTCAACCAACCACCAAAATATGCCCACTTCGTCGCCGGAGCAAGCTCCCAACACTTATACATTTTCAGTAAAATATACCAACATTAATGATTATGGCCAATTAAGGTCATTTTCTTCGGTGGCTGTATCATTAAAGCTATGGCTATTCTGACATCGCAACACATCTTATTTATATAACATCTCTTGGAGATATACCATAAGTACCTTTGGTCCGCGGTCTCCTTTTTTGCCTGATGGTCCGGCTGGACCTGCTGCACCCTAAACGTATTGGGAAGATAGTCATGATGATGGCAATCATAATGTTGCTAATGCTAACAATTGTTATCAAGATGATAGTTACATAATGATGATGATAATGATTACATGATGATGATGGTGATTACAACGATGATAATCGATGATGATGACTAGAAACAAGACTAACGTTTTAACATTGCAATATAAAAGTGAATATAATCTAAGAAGCCTTGTCATGCGCATGTCTTACCTTCTCACCGTCATCTCCAGATGGACCCTGTGGTCCTTCAGGTCCTGGTTTACCCTGAAATATTGAAGATAAAATCATCTGGTCTGAGTCTATAGATCATTCAGTCCATA